AATGTGGCAGTCACGGGGGCAGATTTCAACACAGCTAACTGGCCCTCCGAGGTCCTTCTAATTCCTTGCTATAGGCTTGGTCATCCAGAGTGAAGACATCTGGAAACTTGCAGATGTAAAGTTGAGAGATGTGATGTGTCAGGGTGATTTAAGTCATTTGGAACCATTTATCTTTCTATATTCCTTCCTCCTGTGAAACATGGATAATGCTGGGACTCAAACTGTTTTAGGTCATGAATTGCCTTTATGATGAAACAACAGGAATCTAGGTCTTAGACCTCTCTCCAAAGTGTAACCCCTTTACCAGCGCTGGACAACATGGCAATGTTACGCAAGACACAAGTTTTGGTCTTCTTTCAGCCATTGTGTTTCTGGAGTTTTCTTGTTATATGATCAGGACAGGTCAAACCACAGTTCTCAAAGCAGAGATGTGTTCTGCGGAGTTTCATTGTTTGTGGTTGTTTCAAACCGTTTGTGAATTCAAGACATTTTCCCTAAAGCAGCAAGGCATTATTACTCTTACACTGGCATGAGCGAGCGTGTGACTGAAGCTAGGAAGGGTGAGGCAGACGGCCATGAGCACAGGAATTTGAGCTCAACCTGGGAAACTCAAATTGATAGGAGAGGAAGGAGGGAGGAGCAAGGGAGAGAGGTGAGGGAAGAGGGGGGAGGGACTAAGAAGTGGGGGCAGGGGGCAGTGTGGATCCCAGCAGACCATGTGCGCTGAGTTTGGGCCCAAACATACAGTCAAACAAAAGACCACTAATATATACTCATTCCCTCCTTCCTTTCGCAACCAGGTATCTGTGTGAGGTTTTCTCTTCCCCAAACCAAACAACATCCAATGGATCAAAACAGATGAGAATCCAGCTGTCTCTAGCAAGCCAGACGTCAAAGACACTTAGAAGAAGTATAAAATTATCCAGTTCTCACTCGCTTTTGAAAAATAACTTCCATAATATATGCATCATTTACATAAACATAAAGTTGGTTTGCAGTTATACTAATAATTTTTATAACCTGTTAGTTGCCTCTCCAACACTGTTAAATATTCATAAAAGCTTCATACATAAAAGCCATTCGGGGAACCTCAAATGTTTGGAGAATAAAGACATCTTGAAAACAAGAAGCTTAAAATCTTTGGTTTGTGGTACTAAATTTAAAACATAATCGCAAAACTGTTTTCTTATGAAAACACACGCGCTGCTAAGCCTAAAGTGGAGAAATAACAAACACGGAAAGGGGTTGGGGAATGGGAATGGGAACGGGAATGAGAATGGGAATGGGAATGGGAATGGGAATGGGAACGGGAACAGGAATGGAAATGGGAACGGGAACGGGAACGGGAACGGGCAGTGTTTCAGAAGTGTAGATCAACAGCCTTGGTGTGAAGCTTCAGGGAGACAGAGACCAAGTGCAAACAGAGTGGTGGCCACTGGCTCCGACATACATGCACTGCAAATAAACCAGGAAGGTACTTTCCTTGAATAGAGGGTCTCACTACGCAGCGCTGCCTGGCTTGAAACTAGATGTGTAGACCACGCTGGCCCTGAACTCTCAGAGAACTCACCTCAGAGCCTCCGGAGTGCTGATTAAAAGTGTGCACCATAGTGCCTGCCCTTGACACTGACTTTTAAATAGGGAATGCATGTACATACCAAGTTTCTCATTAGGCATTTGATTACCTGCAATAAAAACAATGGCCCAGAGAGCTGCCTGTGGAGTAACCAGCCTCCCTGAAGCAAAATGTGAAAAGGTCAGAAGTGACAGAGAAGGTGACACAGGAAATGAGACAATCTTAGGATGGACACAGAATGCTCCAAAGAGCCGGTACCAGGGGAGAGAATCAGAGTCACTCAAATAGCCAACTGAACATCTAGTAAGAGCCAGGTGCTGTGCAGAGCGCCTGGGGTCTGTGAGTAGGGGGGAAGCGTCTCTTTCTCAGAGATGAGATTTACAGCCCAGCTAATCTTTTTCTTATGAAATGTGGGCTTTTTCTCTGCATCAATGTAGAAGAAAGAACAGGCAAAAATGTTAGTGAAATAACCACATTAACTTTCATTTGTTCTCCCCCAAGAAGGAAGGAAAGGAGGGGGAAAGTTTGCTAGATTGGTGTTTTTAAAGTCACAGCATGTAACATAAACTGTATCCTAACCACTGCTTTTGTTGTCCTGAGGTTGAGGAAAAGAAAGCAAGGGAAGAAGAGAAAGATACACAAGACATACAACAATGGGATTTGATGAACGACAGGACAGAGGAGAGCGGTGCTGCAGGGATTTCTGGGTCAGCAGTGCAAACAGGAAACCAAGGTCCCTCCCTCCCCACCTGCTTTTGCATTAGCAACCTTTTAAAGCCCATTCTGTGCGGCATCTACATGGCGTGCTGTGCTAAAACACTACGCTAAATGCTACAAACCCTACAGCTTGCTTGCCGTTAGCAAATGCCAGGTCAGCTAAATTTCACACTTTCCACATATCCACTTCATCCAACTACTCTGGAGGGTCCCCGCTGACGTGGGAAGTCCTTCTGTGTTTGTGTAAATAAAGCACTGTTGGCCAATAGGGAAGCAAGATAGGTGGGACTAGGAGTCTAGGAGGATTCTGGGAAATGTAATGAAGAGAGTCGTCGCCATGTGCTCTTCTGGGAAGAGGACGCCAAGTCTGCGTTCTCAGAAAGATAAGTCATTATAAAAATATATATTAGTAATTATGGGTAGGTAATTAAGTCAGAGCTAGCCGATGAGAAACCACAGCAAACAGCCAACAGCTTCATAATTAATATAGTGTCTTGTGTGTTATTTGGGGGCTAAAGCGACAAGGGGACCCAGGCAGAATCCTGCAGCACCCCGTACCTTCTCCCTCACATTTAACCATTCAGTTAAACAATTGTGAAAAGACAATATACGAGCCTTTTAATCTTCAGGGAGGTAAAGGGAGCTCTGGGACCTTCCCACCTGAGCTTATGGAACGTCACTGGCACCATGCAGTGCAGTGAGATTCCACACAAACACCAGCGAGGAGTCTGTGTCGTCAGGAGACCCTCAAACGGAAACACTGCACGTGCCTGTCTTGATTACTCCCCTACTGCTAAAAGTAAAACAAACAAAAACAAAACCAGCCTAATTCTAACGTCAGTCCTAATTCAGGTATCAGCCGTGCACACTGCTTTCCTGAAAACAAGCGACTGCTACGTGGTCATGAGCACGTGACAAACCCTAGCTACTTACAGACTATCTATAGACTTTGTATCCCAACATCACTTCTCATGCTTCGGGGTCACTTTTTCTACTTGTATCAGTTTAATGTCCCACGGATATTCATCCTATCACTTGTGTGCTACTATTTAGGGTTAATCCATCTGCCTAGTGAAACGGAGAAAACATTCACAATGTACCCCAGGGTGAAATCATAAGCCTGAGATTTATCATCGGTTTCCTGGGACGCGGCACGTTCCTCTGCACAGACTTTTGTACTGTGTGCTCACTTCCCCCAGGCTTCCCTGGTAACCCCGTTTATGATCACTGGCCTCTTCTCACCCATGTCAACCAAAAGATTTTTTAAATTAAGTATGCATTTATTTTTATGTTTTCTTCCCCAACCTTTGCTTCCTGAAGAATGAATGTTATGAAGACAGAGGTACCAAGCCTGATTCCATGGCGCAGGCCTGTAATCCCAGCACTCCAAAAGCGGAGCCTCGAGAGAGGCCCAAGTTTAATATCAGCACCGCGAGACCTAACGTCAAGGAAAGAAAAGGGAAAAACAAAAACACCTCCCAAACAAACAGTAGTTATTGGTGCCTTGGACTGTCCCTAGCATACCATATGTAACCAAACACCAGACTTTATCAAGTAGACCTTGAGATTTCAAATAGGAATATGCTGTACACAGGACATAACTAATTCAAGTCCACTGGTAAGCAGCGATATACCTCCACCATGCCTCGATCACTCAGTTTAAAACAGGATAATGGCACCAACAACACTGTTGTGATTAACTGTGGCGATGTGACACTGCAGCACACAGCAAACAAGGCGGTGTTGGTAAGAAGGGGTGGCAGTGTCGATGCCACCATCATCACATTAGAGTCCAAAGCCCGTTTACCACTTCCAAATAATTCGTGGTAAGAATGGGAATCCACTGTCTTAGTCCACGCAACCAAACCAATCACACAAAAGCAGATTAAGAGTTTCCAGAAACCAGAGCACCTCAGAAGAGGTGAGGGAGGTGGAGCATGATAAACTCTAACTCTATTCACAAAAGACCTCATTACAGTAAAAATGTCCATAAAGAAAGTGGAATTCTAAAATTAGGCAGATTTACTTCAAAACAGTTTACTCAAACTTCTGCTGTAAAATAGAAACTTCTATTGTCCTTGTTAGCTGCTGGGAAAGGAAGGGCCAGTTTCTCTAAGAGCGAGTATCGCTAGCCCCTGATCAATCAACCACACTCCAGTGGAAGGCTACACAGCCAAGAATTTTGGCAGCACAACTTCGTGGGGGGGGGAGGTGACGGGGGCTCGGAGTAGGGAAGAAAAAGAGCCTGGGAAGTTTGGGAAGGGAGTGTGAGTATGATTGAAATGCATTTGATGACATTTGCAAAGAACTCATAATTTAAAACTGTTCCACTGCTTTCCAGCGTCCTCCCGAAGAGAAAAGCGTGATGTGACCTGAGCGGTCCCTGCACAGCTTGGGCTGAAAGCACCTGGCCCTCTGACTTAGCAATCACTCACAGCTGTCTGATGGGGTCTTTCCTCTCTCATACGCCAGAGGATTCCATGTCAATGGAGAGAGAGAGAGAGAGAGAGAGAGAGAGAGAGAGAGAGAGAGAGAGAGAGAGAGAGAGAGAGAGAGAGAGAGAGAGAGAGAGACTGCTCCAAGCAGCGTCTGTTTGTCACCTCATAACAAACCTGAATTTATCAATCCTGTTTCCTTCAGTGATAGAATAGCCCAGGCCCTCTTAGATTAAGAAAACCAAATTTTAAAATCAAAGCCACATTCCAAATGTCTTAAAAGATATTTTTGTTCAATTCTTTCATAAAAACATTGGTCACTATTTAACATACAGTGGCAACAAAATGTACCCAGTTTACATGCATCAACAGGTCAGTAAATGATGACGCGAGAACGACACGCACTCTGAGCAGGCAGTCCTCCCCAGCCGTGATGTGCTCGCTGGAGCTGTGGTGCTGACAGAGAGCAGCTGCCATGAGGCAGGGGTCCAGTTTCAGCTGACGTCAGATGCTCTGGGATGAAAACACTGAACCAGGGTCCTATGGAGTCATCAACTTACGGGGAGGGAGCCATCTTCAGAAATCACACTGTACAAAGAACTGAGTGAGATCGGGCGAGAGCTTGACTGGCTGAGGACAAACGGACTTTGATGACGTATGTCTGCTTTTGAAAATTAAGGATTTTAATGATTCAAAACACTCTACTGATTAAATGTGATTCCATGTTTTACCAAAGTTTTGAATGTCTTCCAATGTGAAAGTTACATCTTTCCTGTGTTGACAACTGAGACAGCTGAAGATTTAACGACACTGGCTTAATTCTGTTACCAGAGATTCTGGCAGTAAGGACTGGGATGTATTTAAGAGAAAGAAAAAGGAAATCAGCGATCAAAAGTCCTTCCTAACCTCCAAGACAGGTTTCTGGAAATGGGATTTAGTAAGAAGGGAAGTTAAGCACCACAATACAACACTTAAAAACAAAAGCAGATACAGGAAAGCCACCAAAACCCAAAGGACAGACACACACTCACAGAAAATGAAACAACCTGGAATCCTCTTCCTGGTGTCCACGTGTTACGTGGAAGAAAATACAACACAGGTCTGCCTGCAATCTCAAGTCCTGCAATTCTAATTTGATCAAAGGAAAATGTTACTTGAGTACGTGAGAATTGGATGGTTTTTGATACTATTTTTTCTTAAACTCTATGATAAATGGACAATACTAAGTCATCCCAAAGTGCAATAGGGACAGTATGTGACACGTTTTCTTACGGAAGAGAAATCTTCTTTAAACAGAGCTTGAAGTAAGTATGTGTGAACCAAACCCCGAAACAAGGTTTGAAAGGCATAGGCATGCTAACTTAGTGTTTTTCATCTAGTTAGCCAACATGGATCATTTTAATTCCCCCAAAGACTGAATCCTAACTTCCTTTTCTCTCTTCCATATGTCCAATTACTCTGTGACATGCAGCATGTCAGCATGTGTGGGCTCCATGGGAGAAAACTTAGGACTCCCACGTGATTTAGGTCAGACTTACAGGCACAGACACAAGTAGCTTTCACCAGCCATGTGCTACAGTCACCACAAAGAAAAAGGCTCCAGAATGGGAGAAAGGCTTTCTCCTCATGGTATGCTTGACTACAGTATACAGCAAAGAGCAAAATATGAAACACATTATTTTAAAAAAATCCAAAAAAAAACCACAGCACAAGATCTAATGAGATTAGGATTCTGAGCATGGACTACTTAGACTCCTTCCCTTCTGAAGAGATAATAGCATGTCAGGGGGAAACCCTCCCAAAGTAACAGAAGAAATGCCTCGGGAACCTTCCAGACACCACCTGACTCTGCCTCATTCTCTATAACCCTCCTTGAAAGTTTCCATTTTCTATCTCCCTCCAAAAAACCTAAAACGTAGCATATTTTCCAAATGCCATCCCAAATTCCTTAGTCCACCCTAATTTCTTAATCCCTGTTTCAAGGATAGTAAGCACTGACACTGTCTTTCCCTCACAAACCAGAGCTCACGGTGAGATTATTCAAAGCTGGGAAATTAAAGGGAAAACGTCAACTAGAAATAAGTACACTTGTTAGCATATATGGTATATGTAAAAGGAAGGCCAGCAAATCGATCTTTCTGGTTAACCTCTGGCCCTTAAGACAGCATGGTTCAAAAGGAAAATGAACCCGATATACTTAAAACACTTACAAATCTCTATTCATTTCGAATAGATAGATATGAAAGCTTTAAAAATGAGTGAAATTATGATTGCAAATGTTTACTGTGAAGTAACATCGAAGTGATGCCACCAGGCAGGGTTAAAACTTCAACTGATATTGAACATCTGAAATAAATTGGAGAAACCCTAGCATAGAATTATAACCACCAAGAAAAAAAACATAAATAGGTATTTCCATGCATGTACATATTACATAACAAATAAGCAAACCTCAAGTCAGTACAGTACAGTATCAATGACTACAAGTTAAATAATATGTTGATACACAGAGAGGAGGAAAAGATAACATGTTGACCGCCACTGAGGAAAAGCATCCCAACAATTGACATAAAATGATACCAAATGGTTTTTAAAAAGATGTCTTAAGACCAAGCCACAATAAGTTAGTGTTTCCATAATACATGCTGAATGATTTGATCCCGTATCTATACACTGCTACTGTCTTCACCACTAAATGCTGTGACAGTATTTTTTAATGACTGAGGTACATTATAGGTATTCTAAGATGACTAATTTGTTGTTTCCAGTTTTTCATCTTCTTCACCTCCTCCAAAGAAAAACAAAGGGAACATTCCTAGAATGCAGCCAATAGTCACGCCAACAGCCTTGCCCTAAGGAGACAAAAGAGAACATTTCTTAAATGTCCTTAACAGAGGTATCATTGCATAAACACTGATGACAACAGTCCATTGCCACCACTGAAACTGCCACTACAACTATATTCCTGTTGATTATAGAACCTAAGTATTAAAATAAGCTACCAAGTACACAACTTGCCATTTTAAGTTCAGAGAAACAAGAGAAAATTCATCATGAACATGACATCAAAGAAACATCCAAGTAGAAAATACTTTTTTAATCGCGTATATATCCAATGTCAGGAGACAAGAACACAGGAGGGGAAACATCCCACTATTCTCAGTGTATCTGGATTTGATATCCTTGTACAGAGTCCTTCAGTACCAACCCCCACCAATGCTTAGCTATATGAAGATACAAACAGAAACAGTGTGGCTCTCGGCCTCAAGCAATCTACACTGTAAAACCAACATTGTGAAAAGTGTAAAATTTTAACTTCCAAAACTGATTCTAAATTTTGCATTCCTATGATGACTATCAATTTTAAATTAAATTTTCTTTTCTTTTTGTTAATGTTTCTTTTAAAGACAGGGTTTCTCTGTATAGCCCTGGCTGTAAATTCTCTTTTTTAAAAAAATACCTATTGTATTATTTTTAACTATTTGTGTGCATATGTCTTTTGAGTGGATATGCACATATGAGGGCAGGGGGTCCACAGAGGCCAGAAGAGGACACTGGATACCCTGAAACTGGAGTTAGGGGCAGCTAAGAACACTGAGTGCTGGGAACTGATCTTGGATCCTCTGTAAGGAGTACTCGTTCCTAACATCTGAGCCATCTCTCTGGCCCTTCAATTAAGTTTCCTTTTTTCATACAATCATTCACTGAGATTCTGTTACGTACTAAACTCTCTGTGCTCGGTAATCACATGGAGTTCTCTCTCCTCTGGAGCCCCAGTTAGAAACACAGAGACAAAAGAAGTCCCATTTGACATTACAGGTGCTGCGCTAGCTACATAATCTGCAGCACTGAAGGGAATGCTTCCTCCTGGATACCATGCAGTAAGCAATCAGAGCGTGGAGCACCCATAATAACTTTCAAAGTGACATCAATGTTCTGACAATAGTCTATACAACACCTCTTCAATCTGTTACTATGGCATTTTGTCGTTTGCTATAGTGGTAGTACGCCTGTGTTTAACATTAATTGTTAACTCTGTCAATCTCACTATGTGACTATTTTAAAAAGAACTACAGTTGCAGAAACATAACAAGAAGAAACCTGCTCTTTCCAGACACTAGCAAAACCAGTCCTCAATTCCTTACTTTGATCTCATATTTTGCTCGTTTATATTCAACACAGACTATTCTATTTGGCTCCTGATTGCCCTAGGACATAACCGCTGCTAAAAGCCCCCCCACCCACTCTGTTAAAATGCCTTTCACTATGACCCAGGGTGACCAAGGGTCCCTACTGCTCCCTTTAGAAAAGCTGGAGCAGGGTGATCCTTGCCTTTACTAACGTCTAAGTCCACTACTATTTGATTTTCCTCCCCATCAGTCCACAGAAACGCTCAGGAGTGAGCACCATGGGTAACTACAGTATAATGGGGATGAGTTCCAGAATAACCAATGGATAGCAGAATCTCACGGTGCTCGAGCCCTTAATTAATCAAGCTGGGCAATGTTTGAAAAAAAATCAAGTGTATTTATGAAAATAATAGGGCGGTGGTGGTGCACGCCTTTAATCCCAGCACTCGGGAGGCAGAGGCAGGCGGATCTCTGTGAGTTCGAGGCTAGGCTGGACCGACAGCCTCCAAAACAATCAGAGAAACCCTGTCTCGTAAAACAAAACAAAAACAAAACAAAACAAAACAAAAAGAAAATAATAGAGAACAAACTATTTTTCTGACAATATCCAAGGCCTGGGTAACTTTTCGTAGCAACTCCACTCAAATCAATTACAGTCTCATACTGCCATGCTAACCACCAGCTTCATGCTCACAAGCCATGCAACTTACCAGATGTGTGCTAACACGAGTTTGCCACATGTCAACTTGCTTTGGTGTGAGATCAGGAATTGATAAACCTAACCTGGAAGCCAAGGCCTCAACATAACCTGCAAGGCTTCAAGAAAACAGAAGAAAGGAGAGTTTAAAGAGGTTTGCAAATGTCTTCATAGAATAAAAACCAATCACTACAAAGGGAAATGGGAGTTTTGTCTCTGTAGTCATCACTCCTGACAAACGACAAAAATTCCACAACTTCTGTTTTTATTATGTATAGATTAACTCTGGTTTAAAAATAGTTTCAAATTCACATTTAAACACAGTGACTCAGAGTATCTATTCTTTATCATTATCTTTAAGAGATCAATTAAGGTACATACTTTTTTATAAATAATTAACATGCTGTACTTACTACAAACTCAAAGAAAAGTATGTAAACATATGATTTAATTTGATAACTATGATCAGAAAGTAACAGTTTTTAAAATTTGTCAGACGCCTAACACTTTTAGCCTAACAGGGGATTCTAAGTTACCCCCACTGTTGGATAGAATCTTGTTCTAAGTACTGTCAGAAGAAAAGAGCCTGCGAGTTACACACACTGGCAATCACAAGGTAGGGTCTGGCTTCAGATGTGAAGTGCTTTGAAAGTGAGAACACATAAAATGTGGTATTTAAGCCGGGCGGTGGTGGCGCACGCCTTTAATCCCAGACTCGGGAGGCAGAGGCAGGTGGATCTCTGTGAGTTAGAGACCAGCCTGGACTACAAGAGTGAGTTCTAACAGTTGACTCTACTAACACATCAGAAAGCTACATAGAAGCTGCAGTATTGTCAATATTAAGCTTGAAGTTTGAAAATGGGAAATGGAATGTCAAAGAGGCTGTATCAAGATAAGATTTATGTTAAGAATTCTAGGATTATAAAATCCCAATCATGGCCCTGAAGAAAAAGACAAAACGAAACTTAGTTTTGGCCCCAAATTCAAACCCAGATCCTAATACTGAGGGTCAGATCACTTATAAAATGTCTCCGCCTACTGTGCCTAAAATAGAGTCCTACTAGATCCAAACCCAAATCTCAAAATATACCACTTGAGTAGCCAAGAAAGGAAGCCAGTGTCAGTGACAGAACGAGAGAGATGTTTGTCCTAATATTTCATGCCAACTTCTCAGCTTCCCCAAGCCCGGGAAGCAGCCCAGGCCATCTGCCACCTGGAAGAAAGTGAGAATTGGGCTTCTCCAAGAAGCCATCCTCCATTTGTGTTATCATTCCTGCCATATGAAAAGGAAATGGCCAGGAAAACATAGGCCTTGGAGGCTGGGGTATGGCTCAGTGGCAGAACACACCCTCAGCATGCATGAAACCACATTTTCAATCTCTTAACATTGGAGGGAGGGGGAGGGGCGGAAGAGTGGAGGGAGGGAAGGAGGGGCGGAGGGAGGGAGAGAGAGAGGGAATGAGTAGAGGGAGGAGGAGGGATGGAGGAAGAGGGATGGAGGAAGAGGGATGGGGGAGGGGGGAGAGAATATTGGACATTATTTCCTTTGTAGGTCAGAACCTTTAAATCTCTTCATCTATAAGGAAGTAGGAAAACGACAGAGGTTTACTTTTAATCCTCTGTTCCCATCGGAGATGCCACAAAATAAATCTTCAGTAAACAGAAATTCCATTCTGCTTATATTTTTATCATTTTAGGATATAACAGTGTATGTAACATAGTGACATAGTTTTACCCATTTTTTGAACCAGTGATTCAGTTTTATACACTCATGGCTGACAACTATATTTGATTTCCACCAAATATTTAGTATTACTAACTTAGAAAAATTAAACTAAAAATTTTAGTTTTAGACCCCAAAGAAAAATAACTGCTTGTTAATTAGAGAAGAATGAAGACAAGAACATACAAGTACGTAACTGCAGAAACGAATCATGAATGGACCTACCCAAGTCCAGCTAAATCTGAGACAAGATTTCCCAAAGCAGCAGCTGGAAATTTGAAAAACACACAATGAGTTGTCAAAACAAAGCCAGCAGAGAGATCACGGCATTACATCATGTGAGAGGCACTGAGCTCTGGTCTGCTGGGGCTAACATATTTCTCTGCTGTTACAACCATATTCGAAGCAGCTCAGGGATAGCTTTAGGTGCCAAGAGTTTAAAAGAGCACGATCCTAAAACTGGAATACCCAGGCTCCATTATAGAGTGGCTACCTGTAGAGCAGAAAATTTCCATTCTTACATCAACACTAAAATTTTGTAATTATGTCTTTAGTGTGATATTTGTTTCCAGGAATTTGGATATCGGAAATTTAAAAGCAAAGCTGTATAAGCAACTCCAAGTTCAAGAAAGTAAAGGAAGGAAAATGCTTCATTTAAATGTTCAGTGGTAACACTGAATTACAAGAAAAACTTGCCTTCACATAGACAATTTAGTTGAAGAGTGTTACCCACTAACTAACATAAATTAGTTACAATTTCTCAGGGGAAAAAATTGCTATATATAAGAAAACTAGGAACCAGAAGAGTAGGATTGAAGATACCTAAACAAACAAACATCTCAGTGAACAAATTCATTTCAAACAAATTGTCTTCTAAACCTAACTTACTGACCTTTTAAAACAACATGCAGACAAGAGAATTTTAATATTAGCTATTATCACATACCTGCCATTGTTGAAATCCCCAAAATAATTCCAATAGATAATTCAATTTGGGTTCCCTGAAAAATAATTGGGGGAAAAAATCAAAGCTGACATGACTATCAAAGATATCAATGTGCTAATAAAAACAGACTGTGTGGTAAAATCAACACGCTTCTGCAACACAATCACACACAAACACCTGTAAATGTGCACAGCATGAGGTGACTCACTCAATTCTTACACATATACACATTCATGAAGAAACAACCACTAACATTTCATCCACTAAAATTGAGCCTTCCTAAAAATAAACTGCAACACATGTAATACCCAATTCTTCACTAAGAATCTGATCTCTACATTCTTAATTCTACTTTGTTTCACACAGAAATATGCTTTAGAGCTCCTTGAACCGAAAGTTGAACACATGGATGCTAAATTCTGAAACATACTGTGCCACTAGCTACTCTATCAGGGTTTGAAAGACTGAACGATTTTCTAGGAAAACTGCCATTAGTAAGACCTTCCTCAAACTGTTAAGCGGTGCGCTATCATTCACATTTAGTCTGGCAGGCCCTCCCTCAGTAAGAATGAGGACCGCTGCATTCCACTGCATTTACTTACTGGCCATCAAAGAGCCCCACATTTATCTTCCCCTTGGGGAGAGAGGAGGGACTCGTGTGTCCCACCCACTTTACAGAGGTGGAACTGAAGAGACTCCCCTAGGCTGTCACACAGAGGAGGAGGCCCTAGGTCTACTTTGCTAATTCAGTTCAATCCTTCACGAATGTGAACCCAGTTTTCAAGAGCTCCCTAGAAGACTGTCTAATGTGCTATATAAATTTTTCCACTGCCCGGTCAGTACAGAGCATAAAATCTGGGTGACATTTTCCTCAATTCTCTTGTCCCTGCTTTCAGCTCTGCCTCTGAAAGACACAATTCTTGTTGAATATGACCAAACAGCCTGATGCGCCACTCTTGCAGACACAAAAAGTTATACACTTCTAAAGATACCTAAAATAACAGATTTATGAGGGGAAAAAAAGGAAGCACAAACAGAAAAAAATAACAAGACACCTATCTTTCTTATATAAATGCTAAGATGGCAGAGCACCACTACGTCAGGCCACAGAAAATAACAAATTTGACAGCACCCTCAACAGCCATGACTCACTGTCAATGACCCAAGAAGAGGCTCTTTAAAAGCATGCATCTGAAGACCATTTGTGTGAGCTGGACACAGCTCTGTGGGTAAAGTATTTGCAAGCATGGAGACAGCTCTGTGGGTAGAGTATCTGCGAGCATGGACACAGCTCTGTGGGTAGAGTATCTGCGAGCATGGACACAGCTCCGTGGGTAGAGTATCTGCGAGCATGGACACAGCTCTGTGGGTAGAGTATCTGCGAGCATGGACACAGCTCTGTGGGTAGAGTATCTGCGAGCATGGACACAGCTCTGTGGGTAGAGTATCTGCGAGCATGGACACAGCTCTGTGGGTAGAGTATCTGCGAGCATGGACAAGGTTCCCGGTTGGAGCGCCATCATCCCCCACAGAGTAACAGTAAGTATTGTGTGCTTATCATTTGGTGAAGTTTGGCCTCAAGGCCCTGCTAAGAATGTAAAAACTTCATAAAAATTCAAAGATGTTTAGGGGACAATGCCCTACTTCTTTCCTTTGCTATGTATTTCAAAAAATTAATACAGATAGGAATTATGAATAAATCTAACAAGTTATCAAAGCAACACTTTATCACCTTAATTATACTTCTCTTACAATTAATCTGTTCTAAAAATGAACCTATCCTAAATTGAATTATAAAGCAAAGCAATTCTTCAAATGACTAAAATATAAATTATAAAAAGCAATTCAGCAATATAAAAGTATAATAAACTATATAACCGAAGGCTGAGTATTCCTAAGTCTACTTCACCCTATTCTAACTGGCTATAGAGAAACTTGTTCTCATGACTACAAAGAGGGTAGCAGCCAGGAATGTACATCTAACATACAGCAGGACAGGGCAGAAGACTCAACTTGTCCTGTCTGAGAAACTCGTATCTGCTCCACAATGAGCTTTGAGACATGATACAGGGGCAAAAACAAAACAAACAGGAAAAACCGCATTGCTAGGACAGTCGTGACTACTCGTTCCTCTCAGAGATTCTGTCACTGTGTTACATATCCACTCTAATGTCTGGAGTCAAATAAGTCACCTTACTGGAAGCTGTCACCCTCTCTGAAATAGCCTTCAGCTACGAGGCAGCCGAGACCATCACTCTTCACCTGGTGCTGAAGTCAGGGACTTAAATGCTTACTGTCATTCAGTGTAAACAGGTTATTGGTAACTTGGAGTTGAGAGTCTCGGGTCTGGAAAACCATTCTACTCTGATATACTAAGAATGAGGCTCAGGCCTGAAGAACACAGAAGGACAAAACCAAGTGACTGCAGTCTCTCAGTGCTCTGCTGGGTTTGGTCGAGTCCCAACAGCTGTCTACACACAGACATCTCCTGAGCTTCCTACAAGACAGGGTCTGAGGACAGCTAGAAGTCACTAGCTTCCATTCTCTTCACCCTTCAGACTATCCCTACAGCCTTATCCAAAGTGTACGTCTCCACAACTCTCCCTATAGCCTTATCCAAAGTGTACGTCTCCACAACTCTCCCTACACCCTAAAGTGTACGTCTCCACAACTCTCCCTACAGCCTTATCCAAAGTGTACGTCTCCACAACTCTCCCTACAGCCTTATCCAAAGTGTACGTCTCCACAACTCTCCCTACAGCCTTATCCAAAGTGTACGTCTCCACAACTGCCAATAGCAGAGGGCAGTTGTCAACAACCGAGTGAAGTGTGCCTTTTTAAGGAAGTCTGTTACAATGGTGCCTCGAGCACTAACATGTGAGTGAAATCATGGGAAGTGAAATGTTTGACACAGAAGTGCTCTGCACCCTGCTCACGGCACACAGTCACGTACAGCTTATAAACCCAACACAAAGGAGCAAACTACAAGCAGGTATGTTAGCAGCCCGAGAAGAGCAGTGAGGTTTTAAATACTTAAATACTCTCAGACATTTGTATATATGCACATCCATTTTATTCTTATATGTGTGCTAGGAAAGCATCACAATCCTAAAATCTTGACTATTCTAGAATTACATCTTAGGGGCACTAACTTAATGTGCATCGGCCTTGGGAAGTCGGGACTTTGCCACAGCAAACCCTGCAAAGGAGTTTATGACTCCAAGTTGTGCACAGGCCAGAGTCACTCTGTGACTGTCACCAGCAGCCCCTGAACCTTGCTTAAACCAGGAGCAGCTGGACTCTCTGGGGACCAGGTCCTCATTTATCTGGATGCTACTCTGTAGAAACCAGATCATCTCAAATAAACTGACTTAGATACTCCAAGCAACACCTGCAGCCTATAAAATAATTACATAAATTACTTTGTAAAATCTCTATTTCATAACTAAATCTATTTATGTTCATTCATAGTGCAGGTAAATTCTAAAATACCAAAAACAGACTCTTCCATCTCCCCTACCTTCCCACCCCACACTTCTCCTGTCTCTCATCTTCTGAGTGGTTTCCTCAGTAATAGTTAACAGAAAATTCTTACAGTTTGACTCTGTGAGGCTCAAAGCAAATTCTCAGCATTCTAATTCAGAGAAGCTTTTTTTTTCAAATGAGTCTAAGAAAAAAAACAAAAAAACTACCCTTTGGACGCCCAAACTGGTACCCAGAAAGCAATAAGTAATTTATGCTTTCTCTTCTTTCAAGGGTTTAGGAGGCCCTCCATCTCTTTAATGTTAATATCCAGGAAAGACGGCTGCATGAAGCGTCCTAAAGGCACATTTAAAAGTTACTGCCTTGACTGAACTATGAAAAAAAGCATTATCTTTCTATAAAATAAAACAAATCAGCATTGGGAAAGTCTTAACACACTTGTGTTTCAATCATTAATTTGTCAGGAAAGTGTACCAGACACTGGTATCCACTAACAGAGAAGAAAGGCAAAGCAGGCCCTCCTGAGATTGCAGTGATCACAGCAAAGGGGAGTTCTTTACAGCACTGCACATATACCATAATACACCACACAGCATGACAAAGGCAGAGGGTGCTGATAAGTGAATCTTAGACATTTTGGGTTAAATGTTGAGACTAGATTATGCCCCAAAACACTAAGATATTCTAGAGTGAGAAAATGGAACAAGGAACTAATCAAAACCCTCTATATGTGATGACAAGTACCAACACAACTAAAAAACACCATTTTATATACATTTGTGTCTTAATAAAAATGTTAAAATAGAACAGAATAAACCATACAGAATAAACCATAAGCATTTGTCTACATGCTTTGTCAAAAGTTTATGATTAATACACATGATACTCTAAAACTGAACTTGCTCATTGTTAATTAACTTGATAGGTATAATATATAAATTACTAGAAATATGTAGAGCACACTAATTTCTTTATTAACTCAAAATAGAAGTGATGAGAAGACTTACTGCAACAATCATAATTGCATTATCCAAAAAGCCAAACCCTATGAAAGGTATCGCATTGTGGAAGAATACTGAAAAACATCAAAACACAGAAAAATATATTTTAAAATTTTGATAACTTTAGAATGACCAAAGCAGGCTGCGTAATTAAAGCTTCCAAAGAGACCTGATAGCAATCACAGACCCTTTTGTTGCTGTAAGTTTACTTACAGAAGCTATGCAGGGACACAAAACACAAACATGTAACACATAAAAACAATCTTAGGCCTTTATGTTTTCTTATCAGCAATGCAAATACACACATGTAAACATGTGATGACCCCACTTAACCCGCCCACATCAGTCTATTTCTCTTGTGCTGAGGACCAGCACAACAGTGCTAACCTCTGTATTTTAAAAATGCCCACACTCAAATTCTAAGCAAGTTATTTGACTGCTTTTATTTCCTAGTCAACTTTTTAGTAAGTTTTAGGAAACAGCAGTTGCTGTCATCTGGCATCTATGGGCAGTCTTTAATACCTCAGAATTCCTAAATGCCACTGAAAACTGTAAAAATCGGTATTTGTTCAATATCAAACTGTGACTTAAAGGCCTCTAAGATAATTCTTACTTCATCTATCTGATATATAACCGGAAACCTGGGACATTACAAGTCAAAGCAGGAAAAACGTGCTTTGTTTTGTTTTTTATACTCTAGCTTCATATTTTCAAATTTGTGTCTTCAACATACTGTGCAATGCTGAGTACGTAGCTGACGATCACTAACCTACAAACGAAGCTGACTCCATGTTCAGACAATGATTAGAAGCAGGGAACAGGAAGACTACTCTATGTGATCATTAAAACCTCAGGCAGAGCCAACATCAGCCCAACTGACAACTTTCTTCAACAAACATCAAGAATCTGAGCTTTATACTATATTTAAAAAGTCCTCCCTTAAGCCAGTTGACTGCATTTATTAGTGACTTCAGATTCTTTTTTCTTTTGGTGCAGTTAAATATGTGATGTAACTAAAACATAATCCAGAAGTTATGAAAATGATATTCTATGGTATGACTTCTGCACCATCAGGGAAAGCTAGTAGGCAGTAAATTTTTAAAAATTAACACTTCTACCCACAACTGCAATTAGAGAAATATCATCTTCAGCATAGTAACATGCACCATCATGTGTAGATTATTATAGTTACATTGGTACGATGCACAGTACACAATGGATATAACCAGTCATTTCTGGTCTCTGCTTGTCACAGTAGTAATGTTCATGATGAAAGATCAGGATACTCCACTGTGACTATTATTGCGAAAGCTATCAAGATGGAAAAAGTCAAACGCACGTCTGTGAGATGGGATTCAACTTAAGAGCCCACCTTACTTCTCTAGCTTTTCACCTAAGTCTGTTAGGCACCTACTGAATACTTGACTTTTTAGAGCAGGCAACTTCCAAAACACATACACGACCCTACCTCCCACCTACAACATAAACTTAATAGGCAAAACTTAATAGGCAAAAATAGGAAGTTTTAAAGTCATCCAAAGAAGCCACACGGCGAAGGAAAACCTGTCTAGGCATATCTAGACACAGCCTTCTCCGTGGTTTCTTAAACACAAATATGGCAGAATAACCAAGAAATCAGCTGAGGTGACTTAGTATTGGAACAATATAACAACATCTCTAAAATTAGACAGTTACAAATACCTTACAGCAAGGTGTTAATGGCATTAAGATTGCACTAATAGTTTATCCTGGTAGAAGCCTGGTCAGTAAAGCTAAGGCATACGGTCACACTAGTCAACTAATGAACTATGAAGTAGGTCTTTATGTTTATACTTAAATAAATCTGCCATATAAATAAAAAACTACTTTTAATTCAAGTGGGGAAAATAAAGTTTCTCAAAGAAAAAGTATGTACTGGGCGCCCTACTGGGAACTCGAGATATAAAGACATATAAAACTTGGTTTCCACATTTAGACATAGAAACCTAACCACATAAACAGTTAATCTCACATCACCCACAAAAAATGGTAACAGTACTGTATTCACTATCAGTACTGGGTTAGGAGTCTGGGTTGGGAGCATCAGTAAAGATTACCTGGCAAGAGAGATCTTAATGAATTCTCAAATGTTTTGATGTTTGAGGGAAGTTACTAATTCCTAACAATTATATTCTACCTATGAGAGGGGAAAAGGATCATCACTAGTTTCTTCTTAGTCATTTGAATTTGCCTTCCAGTGAAGAATGGTCTCCCATCAATTCACTATTTCTTTAATTCCCTTTGGCAAACACGATTCTATAGCTAAGCAGTTGTTAGCAAATCACATCTAATATTCAATTACCTACTTAATTACCACCTACTCAAAGTTACCGCCACACAGGTAAATGATTCTCTTCTACTGTCTTTTACCCAGACCCTAAGCTTTCACATCACTCCCATACTCCAGGCCAGAAAACAAAGAACAGCAGGGCTCACAGTGAGGCTACCCAGAAACATTTTCTGCATCAGAGAACACTTAGCCTGAATCTAAAACTAAGTTCTGCAGTTACCCAACTTAAATTTTGCCTAGGAAGTAAATATAACACATATTTTCCTGCAAATTAAGAAAACTTGTAACAAATTTACTTTAATTACTACATAAGAACATTAAAAAACTAATAGCTATCCCATATTGTGATATGTCTTCAACCAAGTTTAGAAAGTACTCCTACATGAAAAATTGAGATAATACATTCTATCAGGAAGGTTTGATTTATTGACTTTTGCGCTATTGTAAGAAACAGCTCCTTCAGGTTCAAAAGAGAAACGCATATTAATTTAACAATTATAGAGCCATTACCGTATCTCAGCTGTCCTGGAGTGGGTGGTAGAGCTTCCAACTTTTCTAAAGGGGTAGAAAGGGAATGGAACAAGAGTTAGTTACTATTGTATAGCAACAGACTTACAAAATGGAAAGATATGCTTAGGTTAGTTGATCAAAATTATCCATTTTAAAGAATATTGGTTTGGAGTAAATTACAAGACTAGGGGCTAAGCAGCTTCAGTCAAATGCTGGAGGTCACACACATGGAGTTCTCTTTTATTTACATCATGGCATCACTGTGCAGGGAACCCATTTGCATCTATTATAGCAGAGTCACTTGTCTTCAAATGGAAACTCTGGGTGACTTAACAAATACACACAAACCAATATCAACAGCAGAAAAAGAGACACTCAAATATACTTATATTAGTTTGCTTATTTATTTAGAGACGGTCTTATTATGCAATCCAAGTTGGCCTGGAACACTCAATCTTCCTGCCTCTACATTCCAAGTGCTGAAATAAGAGCCCTGTACCACCACAGCCACTTGGTAATTACATTTTAAAAGCAATGTCATTACAACAATGGTTTTACTGGCTTGTATAATGTCCATTTAACAATATGCTGAACTTTTGCATTTTCAAAACTATACTACTAGAATAAGTTGTCTACACACTGAAACAACCAAAAAAGGTATAGTGTTATTATTTAAAATAACAAGTAGTAATATATTATTTATAAGGTATGGCAGACATTTGATCTTTAGTCAAAAAACCAAGAGGCAATATGTAATGTATGACCAAGTTTTCCAAGTATTAACAAAAGTATCACGTCTCATGCATTTAGAATAACAGGCAAATATAGATGGTTTAAATAGATTTTGAACTATTACAAAATGCAAAAAGGTCCGTCCCTCAATCAGAGCGTCTAACCATGTGTGAAGGCAGAAGCGGTCAAGACTCTTACCCCTCCCTCCTCATGCAGCCATGCAGAATGAGGTGCCTTCCCCAGAGGGCTCCCACTGGTTCCCAGTGCAGCAGTGTACCGAGGTGGGACGCTGGGGGGTGACTGGGTCCCTGGGCCCTGAATTTATCAAGTAGACCCATCCTTTGCAGAGCTGTGGAACCGTGGCACTGCTGGGAGGTGGTGGCAAGTAGGACAAGCTCGGAAAGGTCTACCTTCTGGTGCCCAGCCCCCCCCCCAGCCTCTGCTTCCCCACCACCACAGGAAACAGCTCTGCTGGTGTCCTTCTGCCCGGTCGCTAGTCTGTCTCATCGTCACACAGAAACAATGGGTCAGCCAACCACAGACTGACCCATCCGAAACCGTGAACCAAGATGAATCTTTCCCTCAAGTTCTTTTTCGTACATTTGGTCAAAGCAGAAAATAGCTGAATAATACAGTGGAGAAATATTTTACAGCACATTTTGAGAAATAAATACTAAAAACAAAGCCCAACAAATAAAACCAAAATCAAAAGTTACAGGGCTAGAGATCTAGCTCAGAGATAGAGTGCTTGTGTGTCAGGTACAAAATGTAGGTTCGGGACTGGGGAGGGTCAATCTTTGCAATCAAAGGGAGGAGGAAAACTGAAAATTATAGACCAACTTCCTTCATGAACACATTAATTAGTAGTAGTACAAATACTAAAATACTTTAATATTAAGAAACTAACCCTGCCAGGCAGTGGTGGCATACACCTGTAATCCCGGCACTCGGGAAGGCAGAGGCAAGCAGATGTCTGTGACTTTGAGGCCAGGCTGGTCTACAGAGTGAGTACTGGGACAGTCAGGATTACATAGAGAAACCCGGTCTCAGAAAAAGAAGGAAGGGAGGAGAGAGAAGAGGGGGACTGATTCCTGAGAATGCCAAAAGGGGGCTGGAGAGACAGCTCAGAAGGTAAGAGCAGTGGCTGCTCTCCAGATGGGTTCAATTCTCAGCACCCACTCGTGACTCACAGTCACTGTAACTCCAGCCCCCTGAGCTCTGGCGACCTCTTCTGACTCCTACGAGAAGTGATAGGCATAGCTCATGGACACACATATCGGCACAACACCATACGTGTGAAATAATACGCCTAAAATAAGAGTTGATTTTTTTAAATGTAAGAATGGAGAACCCCCGTTTTCTAAGTGACCGAACAAACCAGGAAAGCTTACCCAAGGAATGGCTCATTTTTATTCCCTGATGGCTGAGATTTACACTGCCCGCCATTAGAATTCTCACTGGTGCTGAGTTACCACTTATCTAAGAAATGTAAAACTGAAGGGGGCTGCCACACAAACCACACGTGAATCAGAAGAGAACCTTTCCCCCTCCTACTCCAGAAATAAAACTCCGTTTAACCCAGATGCTTTTGAATTTGTTATATAAATATGTAAGCAGTATACTATGTTCATGTAAAGAAAATGGCAAGTTAGACAAGAGGGGGACAAAGGAAAATGAGAAACAGAAAAATGCAGCTTTTTTAAGGAAATAATTGGAGGTTTGATATCAGATAGCTTTTTTTGAAAGCTTGAGAAGAAACGCAGGCAGCACAGGAAGCAGGAGCCTGAGGCTCCGATGCTGGAGCACAGGTTTGTCAGCCCCTCCGCTCCATCTGCTTTGCTGCTCAGTCATTCAGAGCTCTCTGGCCATTGGGTCGGATCACAGCGCAGTGCAGATCACCTGAGACAGCAGAGAAATCACCCCAGCTGCACCCACGTGTTGCTGGACACTAAGGTTCCAGAACCCCTTGGTTATGTCCTAAAGAGTTTACTTTGAATTCTCTCTCAGCCAATTGTTTAGTTGTTTTTTTCTTCAGTATCTAAAGTGGCATCCGATGAGAGAGGAAATTACTAACTGTAGGTTAGGTTCTAATGAACTGAACTCCAGTTAATTAGGTTTTTTATTTTTCTATACTGGAAAATGTCCAAGAAGCTCTTCCAGCAGCCTAAAGACATCTAGTGAACCTGCCTTTAAAGCCTGCACTGCACTCAGTGAGTGAGGGAGCAGGATCTCTGCAGACAAGACCAGCCAGATCTACACAATGAGAGCCTGTCTCAAATAAATAAGAAACAAATAAAACCAGGTATGGTGGCACACATCTTTAATTCCAGCACTCAGGAGGCAGAGAGAGGCAGGTGATCTCTGTGAGTTTGAGACCATCCAGGGCTATGTAAAGCAACCTTATCTCAATAGACAGACGGACAGAAGATAGACAGACAGCCAAGATCCAAAGACATATACCAGAATGAGGGCAGTAATATTTGACCTGAGCCTGCACTGTTGTAGACACCGTGTGACATAAGCACCGTAAAGCAAACATTTCCACTTTACTGCTCACATCTGCTTCAACCCCAGGGGGCACCCACGAGACACTACCCATAACACCAACCCCAGGATGCACCACGAGACACTACCCATAACTTACAGCTGAACCGTGACTCTGATGAAAGTGTTTTACCACTGACACTGAAATGTACCCTTTGCATAAGAACTCAGATTACAGTGGAAATGCACGTGGCACTGTACTCTACAGGAACGGAGGCGCCCGTGAGGGAGGCAGGCATACGAGTGCTGCTTCAGGTCAGAGCCTTTGAGAAGCCTGAAACGGCAGGAGGACACAGGCGCAGCTGCACTGCAGGAGCAGATAAAAGTCTGCCCTATCACTCACAGTGGACACTTGAAGAACAGACTGGAGAAACAGTCCTAATGTCAACCAACGCGACTGTGAGAGGAGAAAAAACAAAAACACTAACAGCTTTCATAGCAAACAGGGCTGAAAGTTAAAGAGCTTCTTTACTGTCTTGGCAGTGGATGGTTCTCTATGATAAAGCACAAAAAGGACAGCCTACTCTAAGAATCTATGCGGACACAAGTCCCTGGGGCTTAGTGCTTCACTTTCAGAAACCGGAAAGGGATTATCACAGAAAAAAATGACAGATTCAGAGGCACTGCTTTCTCTCAAGGAAGCAAAGCCATCCTCGAAACCCCACACACACACACACCAATAGACATACATACACGCCACACACACACACACACCACATAGACATACATACATACCACACACACCACATAGACATACATACATACCACACACATACCACACACACACACACCACAGACATACATACATACCACACACACACCACACACACCACATAGACATACATACACACCACATACCACACACACGACATAGACATACATACACACCACACACACACCACATAGACATACATACACACCACACACACCACATACACCACATAGACATACATACACTCCACACACACACCACATACCACACACACACACCACACACACTACACACACACCACATAAACATACATACACATACCCACACACACATACACCACACACACCCACACACACACATAGACATACATACATGCCACACACACACCCCACACACATACACCACATTCCACACACACACACACACCACATAAACATACATACATACCCCCCCACACACACACATACACCACATATCACACAAACCACATACACATATACCACACACACACACCACATACATACACCACATACCACACATACCACACACATACACCACACACACACCACATAGACAAACATACCACACACACACATACACCACATAACACATACACCACATACCACACACACCACATAGGCATACATACATACCACACACACACACACACACACACACACCCCACACACATACACCACACACACACCACATAGACATACATACCACACACACACAATACACTACATAACACACACACCACATAGACATACATACATACATACCACACACACATACAATACACACAATACACACACACACACACACACACACACACACAAGGGTCTGGGGACAGATTGAGCATGCCATGCCAACATAGTGTCTTTGACATGTGGTTACAACATATATAGATTATTTTCCCTTATTGGTAAGGCAATATTTATCTTCCTGGTTTTTTATATAGCAACACAATAGAAATACAAGAAAGAAATTTAAATATTTTCAAGTTCCAGTGGTCAATTTTTTAAATGATTAGACTCTAACCAAAATAAAGAGAAACCCAAGGTTACTGTAAGATTTAACCTATATAATATCCCCTTTTTCATATTTTATCAATATTAATAAAATTTATAGAATGTTTAGAATAAGCTGTGCTTGTTGGTGTATTTCTTTTCCAAACGTTCTACAAGGCATGTTTTAAGACTGAATCAAAGGACTGTAGTAAGAGAAATGTGAGACCGCTACAATTTCCATGTTTTACTTTCCACTGTTGAATTATAAAATACATTTTCAGCAACTGGCTCTGGGAAGCAGGAATGTAGTTCCAAGGCATACAATAACCGTTATTATCTAATAGTTACTTTAACGTTAAGCCCACATTAAACTTAACCATACTTTCTACCATATAACTCTAAGCTTGAAATGATAGATGTTTCAAAAAAAAACCAAGTGTCTTAGTACCAACTCTATTTGGTATTGTGCTCTCATCACAAGATAATTCTTAATAAAATTGTTTATTTCAGTCTGTTTGCCATGACTGTTAAAAATATCAGGAGAGACGTTTTTTCAATCATCTTTAGGAAGTTTAAATAGCAAAGCGGCTGAGGGCAGATAGGTGTCTGGCCTTCTGAACACGGCCTCTTCCTAGTCCACCCAGCCTTCATCCCAGGGAGGAGAACCAGCAGCAAAGTCTACTAAGGAACTCAGGAGGGGGAACTAAGACAGAACTGACGTTTTAAACAGACTAAGACTCTAGGCATAATGAATATCTGTTTAGGAACAGAAAAATCAGAAGTGCATGATAAAATTCACAATAATACGTTAGAGTACAAATTGCAAACCATGATGCAGGCAAAATAATTTAGCTAGTTATATTAGATAACAAAAAGCCATGCACCAAAAAAAGGATTTATAACACTACACCAATATGGCTAGGTAAACACACTTGCAAGAAACAACAACAGCAAAGAACACTCTTTAGAAACAACAAAGAACTCAACTGAGCTAGTCAAGTGTAGTTAACACGTTCTTCTGTACAAAGGTTTCAAAATCGTATTTTAACTAAATGCTTTGGGTTAAACCCATGAAAGTATCTGAATGTTGCCCTGTAATGTTATTTAACAATTGGAAGTGTTTACTGTGAGATATGTATTATATTAGCAAAGATACTCCTCCTCAGAGCTTAGCAGAACTGCACATGCCCGCAACCTTCTGGGGAACCTGACTGGCAATGCAAGCCTGGACTGCACCCAGCCTACCAGTACCCAGGAGCTCCTGGCCAGTGACAGCGCCGCTAAAACAAGAGCTGACCTGGTGTTGACAAGGTTACAGTGCTCAACTAGACACTAATGTACTGATCTATTCAACTCTACCTTAAGTAATAGTTACCATACTAAAGACAAAATCACTTTATCTTCCTCCTGTCTTTCATTTCACAGTGTCTGTCTTTTAAGATAACCAAACATACTCTTGGTGCACAGTTGCCTTTACATACGCAGCTATGTACGTGCAACAGTTAACAGATGTTTCTTAATGCACACTCCCCTGCCTTTTTGCTTATGAATAACAGGAAATTATTACATGTAATGTTTCCTTTTTGCAGGCTAATACAGTAAAGCAATTGACTTTAAGAAAACTCAGATCCTGCTACTTTTACTTACAGTGGGCATTAGCTTTTTCTTTTTAAAAAAAATCATATTGGGATGTATATTGCAGATGAAAAACTTAAACTGAGCTAGAAAATCTACCTATTGTAAAATACCACAAATAGTACATCTGTCTGCGAGTAGGGTTACACAACCACTCCCTAAGACATTCATTTTACAATAAAACCAGAAAAAACAGAGATTGTTTTCAGGTGATTACTACCCTTTTCTCTTTCTGTCATTCCTAAAGTAAGGATTCTTTCACAGAAAAATGAGTGGCCAATGGACTCTCTGAAGTAAAGCTCGTGGTTCTCAGTGGGATGCTGCTTCCCCCAGAAGCACATGCACGGGTATTTAGAATATGATTAAAACAATGGGAAATGCTACTATCATCAGGGATTCTAAACTTTTTACCAATACCGAAGAGTCCATCACAACTGAGAACTATCCCATCTAAAAGCAAGGAGCATGGCCACCCGGAAGTGTGGACAGAATTCTGTGCTCTGAGGATGTGAAGATGGAGCCACAGAGATGATGACTTAATCATGCTGTACAGCTAGCTGGTCTACAACCTAGACTCTAGGTTCAAATTCCCTTTGATTTAATAAACCTCCAACAGAAAAATAAGAACAGTTAAAAAATAACAGAATGCAAATATGTAACAAAGACATTGGCCATGCATTTGTACTTCAAACAAGGAAGAAAACTTCAATTAGATACCACTATCCTCTTCAAGCGGCTTTCCCTCTCCTAAGATATAATCTCTCTCCATGTAATTCTCAAGCATCTGCAATTTAAAAGAAATGATAAATCTGATACACCTCACTGCCACTCATCATGAAAAGGGAAATAAAAAGCCGTATGACTCACCATGATCACCAAATAAAACACGACATGAATGGGGAGAGGCCCACATTAAGATCTCTGCAGGCTTCAGTCTAGGGCCAATCTCCATCTCTAGCCCTGAACAGATCTGCTGTCCTGAAATCACACTGAACTAAAACTCCGCAGGGCCTGGTGCAGACGTCCGCCCTGACAATGAACTGACGCCAAACCCTGAACACAAACATTTTCACAGTGCACAAACAAGAGGTTTAGGTCTCTGCACTCGAAGATTCACTTGTGTTCTCCTCCTTTACTGCATACTGGTGGTTTCTGGGGGAGCTATCTAAATGTTTGCAGAGGTATAATGACCAGGGGCATAACTAGAGACTGAGTTTCAGGAGCGGAGTACCATGTAAACCCTTACTATTAGCTCAGTTCCCACTCGGTAGCCCAGTCCTGCTGGGGGTGAGTGCCGTCTGTCAGCTTGGGAACATAGCCTTTCTTTATGCCCACATTGGAAACAACCTCCAGAATCATTCAAAACCAAAACTGTTCCTCAAAAGACACTAGCATTCAATGTGTGTGCTTACCTGCTTACTTTTTTACATTGCCATTAGAGTTAGCAAAGTAGAATAAAGTGGAGGGCTTCACAGACAAGGAACTAACATGTCAATGTGAGTGCAAACACTGTGTACACACAAGCTGTGCCTCTATATTTCTCTGAAGCTCTGACAACTCAGTTTTTGTCTTTGACAAATACTGAGTAGTATTTAATCCTTAGCCTTACAAAACGTCTTTAACCCATAAAGCCACAAAATCATTAAGATACCTTTCCACATCCTGTAATGCACTCTTGGGCACTGCTAAATGTTAACGAGTTAACATTAAATGTTAAATAGACTATGAAATTGAAATCAGGGTAGAGAATATCAATTTTAAACTATTTTTCTCTGTGTGAACTTCAAGCATAAACACAATTCACACAGTTTCACCGTTACTATTATAAGCAATTGTATAGTTACCAGGTCTAAAACACAACAAGTCAGCCTTTCACTTCTGGCTTTCCCGTGAACTTATATACACTTACAGACTACTCAAGAGAAGCATGCCTATGTATGGGGAAAGCACTAAGATAGGTCTCATTTTGTAGCCCAGGGTGGCTTTGAACTAGTAAAGCCTTGTCTCCACCTCTTTATGGAACTGTTATTTTCTCGCCGTCACAAATGTAACCCTTTAGTTAGTTAAGCATGCAGTTATTACTCACTCACATCCACAGGCCAGGGTTAGGTAACGGAAACATTATGATGACAATCTAAAATATTAATGCAAGAAAAAGTTTTTAAGCATTTTATTTGAACAAGCAAGAAGCCCTGTCAAACAGATGCCTTGTTATTTGTGATAAACATCCGCAAAACAACAGTGTCAGATTGTACTGTACCAAAACTATCAGGGGTCTCTCCTGATGACACCTCCTTCGCACGCTTCACAATGACCATCTCGGGTTTAGGAAATCTGCACGCTAAAAATATTCTAAAATCAGAATGCAATCAAGCAATGAAGTTATTACAATGTGTGCAAAAATAAAATACATTAGAATTTTAAAGTGCTATACGCTCGCATATAGGCAGTCCTTCCTACGCATGGTGCTGTAAACTGGCAGTGCAGAATTAAATGATATTGTCATACATAATAGCTCACGGGACTAGGTGCAGCTCCAAAGGACAGCACTTGCCTAGTGGGTGAGGCCCTGATGTTATAGCAACAACCATAGGAAAACTTTAAATTGTTCTGTGACCTTGAAGATTTATCCCCCCACCCCCACGACCCAGGAGTAGTAGAACATGTCTATAACCCCAGCACTAAGGACACAGAGACAGGAGGACCAAGAGTTAAGGCCAGCCTGGACCACACAGTAAGTGCCAGGGCAGCCTGAGCTTAGAGAAACTTGTCTTAAAATAGAAAAAGGAAAAGGGGGAGAGGGGCAGGTGCACCTGTGTGGAAGCTAGAAGACAACTCCTATCACGTGACACTATGACCAGGCGTGACTGAACCTTTGTCAAAATGCCATCACCCTGGTCTCAGGCCTCTGGCTGTCACACTGCTTCCTGTCCCTCCTCCCTCTCTCCCTCCTCCCTAAGACAGGCCTCACTGTCACAGCTGGCCTGGGATTAGAAATGTGCTCTCACACTCCGTTCACACTTTTCATTTCTTTGATACGCCATGTTCATTCCCCGTCAATTCCTTGTTAATTCCCTCATTCCTTTGGTTGATGGTTGAGATGGGGTTGCAGTGCACTGCCCCAGGGTGGCTTAAACTCCTGAGTTTAAATAACCCTCTTGCCTCATGTCCCAAGGAGTTACAATTATAGTCATGTGCAACCATGTTGACTATCCACTCTGTAAAATGTTCCAGGAGTCTATCACTAGGAGACAAGAAGGAAACACAATTGCATGCTTTTCTGCCTGACAGTGAAGAACGGACACAGTAACCAAGTTGGAACACACTGTCATGAGACTGGTCACCATCATCCCACACATCTGTGTTTACAGCGTGATTTGTGAATTGAGGACCTCAACAAAATTTGTAGAGAAGTTTGTACTTCACACAATTATTCAAAGTTAATAAACAAATAAAACTGGAGCCCCGTTGTTGGAGACCGATGTTATTTAACTAAAGCATCATCATTTGAGTCCTGGGAATCATATAAAGCAGAAACAGCCTATGCAAATGAAAAATAGATTTTACATATGCAAAATAAGAATTATTTTCCTTAGAAGTTCCATGTTTTCTTTCTGAAGTCTTCAATTTTACTAGCATTTAACCATCACCCCAGGGTTTACTAACTGATGATGAAGCAAGTTCATCTGTTAAACCTTGCATTTAAAAATAAGGAATTTTACCACAGATTGACTAGAAAGTTTTTTTCAATCTGCCTTTCCACTTATGACTGAAAAACAAAATGAAACCTTAAGGGTCATCTAAAAAAAAAACCTCAGAGAAAATTGTCCCTGATATCCAAGAGTCATAGCCACAGAGCTGGCAGAGTGTAAAATCAGACACAGGAAGTAGAGAGCAGTAATGCATGAATTGACCTTCCAGCAGGAAGAACTATCTCCTGACAGAGAACAGCCTTCCAGAAGAGCAAGGCTTTGGGCTCAGCCTTAAAGCACTGTGAACTTTAAGCAAATGGGATAGGAGCAGGGAGTCATCTCTTTCCACAAAACGTAGTCCAACAGTAAGAGAGGACACTGAGTCGGAAGGCATTCATGCAAAAGGTGAGGAGGGTGGGGTGACGCACAGCAGGCTTCCCTGCTAAAGCAGGGTGTGGGTTAAATGCACAGGAGGGGTCAGGGGTCAGTCTGGGGCCAGATACTGAAACCCACGTGAGAGAGTGGAAGAGGTATGCAGGCACTGGGTGTCAGTGCCCGGAATAAAGTGAAAGATCACTTGCACAGGAAGCGGTGGTGAAGGTGGGGACAAGCGGGATCTGTAGGAAGAATAGTAAAAACCCAGAGACAGACATCAGGGCTCAAGCTAAAGACCAGAGAAGCAAAGCAATCAAGTCACCAGAGAGTTCTCACCTCTACCAATGCTCAGACCAAAGGGGCGATCCTGTCCTCAGACTGCACTGCATCCTCACACTGCATCCTCACACTGACTGCATCCTCACACTGACTGCATCCTCACACTGCATCCTCACACTGACTGCATCCTCACACCTACTGCATCCTCACACTGCATCCTCACACTGACTGCATCCTCACACTGACTGCGTCCTCACACTGACTGCATCCTCACACTGACTGCATCCTCACACTGCATCCTCACACTGACTGCATCCTCACACTGACTGCATCCTCACACTGACTGCGTCCTCACACTGACTGCATCCTCACACTGACTGCATCCTCACACTGCATCCTCACACTGACTGCATCCTCACACTCACTGCATCCTCACACTCACTGCATCCTCACACTCACTGCATACTCACACTCACTGCATACTCACACTCACTGCATACTCGCTCACTGCATACTCACACTGCATCCTCACATTGACTGCATCCTCACACTGACTGCATCCTCACACTGCATACTCACACTGCATCCTCACACTGACTGCATCCTCACACTGACTGCATCCTCACACTGACTGCATCCTCACACTGCATACTCACACTGCATCCTCACACCTACTGCATCCTTACACCTACTGCATCCTCACACTGACTGCATCCTCACACTGCATCCTCACACTGACTGCATCCTCACACTGACTGCATCCTCACACTGACTGCATCCTCACACTGCATCCTCACACTGCATCCTCACACTGACTGCATCCTCACACTGACTGCATCCTCACACTGACTGCATCCTCACACTGACTGCATCCTCACACTGAATCCTCACACTGACTGCATCCTCACACTGACTGCATCCTCACACTGACTGCATCCTCACACTGACTGCATCCTCACACTGACTGCGTCCTCACACTGACTGCATCCTCACACTGCATCCTCACATTGACTGCATCCTCACACTGACTGCATCCTTACACTGCATCCTCACACTGGCTGCATCCTCACATTGACTGCCTCATCACACTGCAACCTCACACTGCATCCTCATATTGACTGCATCCTCACACTGCAATGAGTTCCTGTCTCCTCCCACCTTATATTCCTCTCTCACCCAACTGTACTCATGTCTCCACCTCCCTAGTGCTGGGATTATAGGGGTGTCATCCCAAATGCTGGGATCACCTTTGTGAGCTCAGTTCCTCTTTTACACCGCTTCACTCTCATAGTAGCCCTGGGTGGCCTTGAACTCACAAAGATCATCTGCCTCTGTCTGTTGAGCTCTGGGATTTAAGGTGTGTAACACCACCACTGTCTGGCCTCTGTGCCTGCTGGGATTAAAGGTGTGGCCGTCATGGCCTGGCTTCTATGGCTGTGACTAGCTTTGCACTCTCGTCTTCAGGAAACCTTTGTTGGATCATAAACAAATTATCACCACTGGTATCAGTGACTAGAAAACATCTACATTAAGAATAACAGGAGTCACTGCTCCCCATCCTCTGACTACTACACTCTTTCTACTCATTCTTCTGCCCTGAGCCTTGCTACAACAGACGTCCCAACGACTGCCAACAACTCGGCCACTTATTCCCTATAGACTCCCATCAACTGTCACGATTTGAACTCTCCCAGCACTTTGAACAGCTATGTACATCTGCATTTAACCAGTCATTACCTGACAGAGAAAGAAGCTTCTCTGACTACAGCTGGGAGCAGCACATATAAAAATAAATATTTAGAAAGAAGGTTGACAACAAGATCACTTAGCAAAACAATATCAATAGGTTCTCCCCTTGGGCCTATGCCTTCTCCAGACCTGGATTTTCAATGCCATGCATGACTTCAATCCTGTGGCGTAGGCCTCAAATCCAATCAAGAGAGTAGTTGGTTACCCCATAAACTGTCTTGCCTCTCTTGTATCAGCAGGCACATCTTGACTGGCAGGTCAGTATTGCAGCACGCAATAAGACCAAAGACGTCTCCCCTCTTCCCTGCACACCCCCAGCAGCCTGCACAGCACCTTCTAGCACTAGGAAAGCCAGCCAGCAGGGAGACAGAGTTTTCTGATCAGTTCAATTCCTACAGTCAATGTGGTATCTTCAGTGACGGGGTCACGCAGTCTAGTTGTGATGGGTAACAAAACAGAACAGTAGCAATAGCCGCTACTGTACGGATGACCCTGGGGCCTCCCTGGGCACGAACTCAGAAGATGACCAGTACACAGCACTGTTTACTTATGTCGTGTTACCTCTGTTCAAATGCCCCTTTTTACCTTTAATATACTTTTAGTTTACTAACTAGTAGGGTCTCATAAGATTTCTTCACACATCCCTAGTCTTGGTTAACCCTTCTCCAATGCATCCTCTCCTCCAGGAAAGTGCCCTTGTCTGTAGGAAGTACACACCAAAGTACTGTGAGCACAGTGAACTCTGGGTTGTACAATATAGTCCGCAGCTGCCTGATGTCCTTCTAAGAGATGGCTCTCGGCAGGGGCTATCTCATGGGGCGGGGGGGGGGGGGGGTGGGGGGTGGACGCAGGCCTGGAGAATGCAGCCTCACCAAGGTTCTAGACGTCCCAGAGCAGTCTACAGTCAGCAGCCCCTCTTCACATTAGTGAAACAAGGACTCTCAACCACCTCAGGACAAGGAAGGAGGGCCATCCCAACTCCAGGACTGCCCACAGAGGCAGCTGAGCCTTCTCCTCAGACTATACCACAACTTGATTTCCTTCCCTGACCAAACCAGGCCTGGGTCCTCCTTTCTCTCCTGAGGTAAGGACTGCAGCAACAGTACCCGATATGCTTCTTGCCTGTTAATCTTTGTCTCACTGACTGCTTCCCAAGGAACTGTCACCTATCACTGAGACAATAGGGCTTCATCCCAGGAATTCAATTTCCAGTGATTCAGGGAAGGAAAAATGTCTATTGAACGAT